TCTCTCTCTCTCTCTCTCTCTCTCTCTCTCTCTCTCTCTCACTGCGTACAATGCCCTGATAAATGCTCGAGCAGAAGCAGTGCAGCCTTCGACGTAATAGACAGTTTACATTCAGCAATTCCGGTGAACAGCGGAACGTTTAGTAGTGGTAACCGATCGTTACACCTACCATCCGTTCCCGATATCCCTGGCCCTCTCATGAGTTACTGAATCCACGATCAGCGCCGGAGCACAGGCGATACGAAAATTTACAGTCTGACGATCAAAGCCGGTCAAGAACCGGGCATTGTTTGCAGAAACGCTCGAGTTACATGAATAAATCCGTGCATAAATTATACCTCGGAGTTACGTACAGAAAACAACCACTAAAAACGCTTCATAGTTTTCTTTTTTTATATCTCCACTTATTTTGGGTCAATTTGTAATCCAATTGAAGATACAAAATTATATCGAATTTTCATTATTAATAAAAATTGAGTCATTTTTTAATACAATTAAAAAATCTGCAATCCTGCTTTTTAGTGTTTTTGTATTTTCAATGTTTACATAAATATTTGTGTAATTTTTATGTAACAATGGGCTCGTATAATGAGAAGGAATCCATCGGATTCAGCTTAACGAACAGCAAACAAAAATTCTGCTGAATTTAAAGAGAGAGAGAGAGAGAGTTCTTAATCGAATATGAAAATAGAAAGAGCGAAACCCGAAGGTGGAACACGCTCGGTTACTCTGAATAGTCGGAAATGTTGGCCGATGAAAATATTTCGAGTAGCTAACCAATCGAACGGAGCTTTTTTCAAATTGTTCACAGATCCATAAACAGCGCCCGGTGAGAAGGATACGCGTTTAGGGTAGGCTGGGTTTCATAGGTGCATTACATGCTCGAGGTGATGTCTAAGAGAACCGATACACCGGCGTGTTGCACGTTTAGGAGTCCTTCGCTCGCTTTCCGCAAGCTATATCAGGTCGTAAGTGCAACGTGATACTCCATCGGTAACGAAAATGGCGTATTTACACGTGACCAACATAACTTGGTTTTGCTTAGATTTTATAAATCATGCTTAAATTAATTGTAAGCATCAGCTTTTAATTATTGCTTTTGACTCTAAATCCTACATTAATCATAAGTCAATCGGTACCAAAGTCAACGAAACGAGCTTCATTTCTTAATGGCGAAATATTGATATATAAATTAACCACAGAGTCGAAATTATTCGCTAAAATGTCTGACATTTGAACTATACTTTGGCTACTAGTACAGCTTTCAAGGAAGGATTCGGCCCCTTCTTAGGGCAACCAGGCAGACATCGACATTTTGGTATTCAGAGTCGTTACTTATATTTAAGACCGCTTTAACTTAACTTAATTTAAGCAATTGCTTATGTCCCTGTTTCCTGTATAAGGAACTGGAAACATGGGATAGACAGGGATAGCAAATGCTTAAGACGATCGTAAGACTAACGACTCTGAAGATTGGCATATGTCTACCGAAGGTACCCAATGACATTTGAAGTTTTCGCTTAAAATTATTAATACTAGTTCTTTTCCATTTTTGATACTTCTTCCATTCTTCATTCCATCTTTAATACTTCTTTTTCCACTCATATCTGCACTCTTATCCACTTCGTCACACCACTTTTTCACAATTTTCTTAAAACACTCAGACATGCATAATGTCCACTCACTCAATTGGAAGACACTAGTGTCCAATGATGAAATAATGATGATGAATTAATGCTTCGGGCTACTTTATAAATCACCGATATAATCATTAACGATTAGGTGTCTTCAGGCTAGTAAAAGACAGGGACTGGAAACATGGGATAGACAGGGATAGTAAATGCTGAAGACGATCTTAAGAATAAGCAACCTTGAGTCCTGGAAGAAACAATACTTAAGGGGCAAAACTGCCCTAATCCCAGCCATGGATCCTGAAAAACCGCATAAACAATTAAACTGTTACATCGAACATGAAAAAACAAAACCACCATAAAAACCATCTGTCATAATCAAATACTCCGTTTTATTTGAACGTTTTTTGCATAATCAGTTCTAACATCAAATTACTAGTACATCCGCACGAGATGACATGTTCGATGTATCAGTTGATAAAATGGTGGCTCTAAGATAATAATCGTGCAACTTTTAATCCCATCGCTATACTCCTCGTAGCTTGGAATCGAGCTAAGTTAAACGAGCGGTAGTCTGCGAACTTTTCACGACTTCGAACTTCGGTCGCAACGGTTAATCCGTTTGGTAAAGCGTGCGCGATCGTGGGATGCACGAGGAACGAGGCGGCTATCAAAATAACGAACCTATCTCATTTCAAAGTGCCTTACTCGCGCCTGGCTGAGTCTGAAACGAGCCGAGCGATCCCCGTGCACGTGCAACCTGGCCTTTTCACCTGAAGACTCGACCCATCTGCTCCATTGACGATCATCAACCCTTACCGACCCTCCCACCTACCCTCTGGGATCGTTAGGTGTGCCGCCAAAAATTCAAGGAATCAATGACCAACGGGTGTGCGATCTTCGATTCGGTTTACCAAAGATTTCCCCTTCACCGCTCACGAATGTGACCGTTCAATCGGTCACTGATCCACGCCATTCGTGGCTCACACAGAAAATACAGCGGTTGACCAATCAAAGTGTGCTCCCAGGTTTTTACAACTCGACTAATTCCAACATTTATTGTCAACGATCATTCTATGTTGCAAAGCACCAGTTCTCGTCCGATCACTGAAGTTAAACAGCAATGAGTGAAGTTACTAAAATAAGAAGCAATATTTAAGGGACTGGAAGGGGTGAACTACCCCGTTGATTCAAAATATAAGAATTAATAATAAACGGAGGGGGGAGTAAATATGGTCGCTCTTGGTGAATCCCAGTCACGTTATATCCAGGACAACTTTGATTCCCCTCCAGTTACTTCGCTCTTTGTTAAGAAAGTTAGAACGTTTCATATCTCCCAAGATTTTTGAAAGAGTTATCGATAATTCATTTTAAGTCGTACATTACAATTGGAAACGCGGGAGTTCCGCGAGAAGACAAACTTCGGAGATGGTTTCTTCAGCCGACGACAAAGTGAAATACATAATGCATGCCTGGCTGGAACATAATTAAACGAGCGGAGGGAAGTTTTAACGGATTTACTTTGTTCCATACCAAGGGTAGGCAATTGTTCTTACAGAACTACGAATATTACCCAACCGTCTTACCTTTGTCAGGACATAATCGACTCACCTCTCGTAAACAACTACATTCTTAATAAATAAAT